ATATATATATATAAAGTTCCCTTTGTTTTGATTCCAATATTTGTCCAAAATTGTCCCCAGGTGTTCATTTGAATTGAGATGATTGTGATGTTAAAGGCCAAAGTAAATGAATCACATCATTTTCCCACTCATCCAACCTTTCAGTGACCCTCTTATTGCTTTGTGGACGAAGCCACCGTCACCCTGAAAGAGTTAACTTCCTTCTGGATGGAGTTGTTTCAGTGAATGGGGATCACTCTGAACAACTTTGTATGATTTTCAGACATCTTTCCATCTCAGAATATGAGCATTTGAGCAATGCGCTCCTTGCAGAAAAGAACAACTGCATCCTCTTACAAAATCTCCCTCTAATTTGTCACAAGTCTCTGTAAACACACTGGGTACCTACACAATGATGCTCAAGCGCACATAAAAATAGGAAATGCACACATACAGCAAACAAGAAATGAAATAGCAAAGAGAAAAAGACCTGAGAAGTACAAACAAGCTCCGCTGGTGGGAAGGCGTTTCATTGTAAACAGAGAAAATGGGTCTTAGAGATTTGAAACAGGGCACTGCTCCTCAAATCTGTGCCATTGTGTGTTATTGTTTGACTGTGACTTCAAATAGTCCCTGCAAGTGCTGTCAGCAAGAACACGATGGAGTTAAAAATAAATCAATAAATAAAACTGTTCCTTTCACAAACACAATGGCGTCCCGTCCTGTGTGCTGATGATCTCTTTCAGTAAATGTACTCATAAGATGACATGGTGAGACRTTACAAAGACATTTTGCTAAATATTTTCAGGGATATCAATGTGTGAATTTGATGTAAATATACTGTTAAAAATAAGCAGCAACTTTGGTATTTCAGATTTTTTTCATCCAATTTGCTGTAAAATTTTGTAAAAATAACAATCACCGCAATACTAACTTAAGAAGTGTGATCTGATTGCTCAAGATTCGTTGGATGAAATATGATTTGAACTTTAAGTGTAGTGGACACACTAGTCCTGCAATATTAATCAGCTATTAGCACCATGAAAACAAATGACGTTCCACAATTAAAACCAATAAAAAAATAATTTTCCCTTTCGATCTTTAACCAGTAAGTTTGTACTTCATGTTCACTCTGTTTCATTGCTGTCATCCAATTAAGTCTCTTCCTATCCAGCATGTCAATGAACCAAAGCCCTAACAAGGTTTACACAGTGTTTGACTTCACCTCAGACCTATTGTCGCGTTTGCTCTCCTGCCGGGCAACTCTGTGACTTTCTTTAATTGCAAAAACTGATTGGCTATCAAGCTCTGAAATCATTTCCTTTTCTCATTTACTTTACAATCTATTACCAGGAGCCAGTTCAAAAAGACAAGAATGCATTAACAGAAGCCTTTTACAAGCACTTAACCTTGCATTACATATAACAATAGCTGTGGTCAAATGTACTTGAACACATGCTGGCAGTACAATGAGTCAGTACAAACGAGCACAATATTTATACTTCCATATCTGTTAAAAATAAATTATTAGTCAATGATAACATAACACGGTGGATGTATTTATGGCAGTAAAAGTAAATGTGAACTATAATGTTTTTGTCTTGTTGACCACTCAGGTGCTTCACAGTAAAAGCCAACATTTCTCATTCCCCCACACACTGATCACTTCTTWAAAAGCTACGCACTGAACAGTGTCACTGTCAGATTTTAACAACTGTGATGGTTCATAGCATAAAACACAGCCTTTTCACAATAAAAGCGCAAAAAATGCAAAGCAACATTGTCAACATTTTCCTCTTTAAAAAGATAAATGGTCCAACACTTATACAGCAGAATATATTTTATTTTGCATTACAGTCTGTCCAAACACCATGCAATTGGCCTCTGTCTCTTTAAGAACCTCCTACTGTTTCTGACACTCCCACTTCAGAACGTCCTCACAACAATGCTTTGGGTGAGGGGTGCTCTGTGGGGCGGGAGCTCGGCTGGGGACTGTGCTCCAGGGAGGAGCTAGGTACAAATAGGTGGTGCTTTGTGGGCAGCTCCATACAGCTGAAGATTCATGGATTTCTCAAACATGCATGAATGAGTCTTGGCAAGACTGGTTATGTTATAATGAGTGAATTAAATTGTAACATAATATAAAGCTAAACAAAGTTGATTTTACATACCCCCCTTTAATTACTGTACATTTGCAATGTTTTTCCTCATTCAGGCACTTTTGACTTTATATATTTTATAAACAAAAAAAGTGGAGGATTCGGTGTCTTCAGCATCATGCAGGGGGATTGAGCCCTTGCTGCTCCGACCGAAAAACAGCCTCCCCACCACTGAGCCAAAACTGCTGCCCACCTCCGTGAGCTGCGCAAATTAGTTTCATGCAAACATCCATATAATAACCATCAAAGATTATTAAAAAAATACCCGCATTATTTGACTTTTTCCCGTATTTCAGCTTTGCTAAAACTGAACTGGTTGAAAAGGTTTAGTCATGAATATTACACTAAAACTCACACAGACCTAGAAGTACATYGATAACATTATTTTGAACAGGTTGATAATTTATTTTGCCTGTGAACCTTTYAGTATGCAGTCTGAAGAAGTTTGGGTTCAAACTGCTGACCCTCCAATTAGTCAGTAACCTGAGTCTTATCTACTGCTGCCCACATAAAGGCTGATTTATGCATGACATTGATCACAATGAGGATCCTTGTCACACATAATATACCATAGTTACTTCATCACAGATATTAGGAGGACCAGTGTTGTGTTCTGTCTCACTGTTTCCCTGCTGTCTTGTTGAGGAAAATCCCCTTCTCCACCCCATAAATGTGTCTGTCTTGTTCTAGATTACAGGAGTTTGATCGAGTGTCACTGAGCTGCACAGGTGTCAGGCTGCAGGCTGCCTCTTGTTCCCAATCTTCTCCTCTATTTGTACAACCCTCCATCTCCACCTCGCTGCCAGATTGCACATTCAGCTAGGAGTGAGTGGTGTTCACGTCACGGTTTGTTGTTTGGATTATATTTTACCCTGCTTAACCCTGTTTTCCCCATCTGCTCCCAGTTTTCGTGAGCCTCACTTTTTGATTTTTTTTTCCAAAAAGTAATAAAAGAACACATTTTGGAGGGCAGGTCCTCTTGCTATTAATCACCACAATATTATGGTAAGCAAATTCCTATCCCCCCCCCCACCCTTGATTTACCTGTTTTGGCTTCAGATCTTTAAAAACAGAATCTTCAAGAACATGGATTCATCAGTCACTCTGTCTTTCCTTTTAAATGTTCTAATTAACACATARTTATTTTTTGGTTTAACAAGATACTAATTACCCATGGCGTAAAAAGATAAAACTTAAATACAGAATTATCTTAGTTTTARTGCTGCTTACACTTCAAGGAGTTATACGATCTTAAAGTTTCTGTAAACCAACAGTTTGAGGTTTACTTTTCAGACTGCTTTTCTGCCTGCCTCTCATTATCAAAGCAGTCAGGAAGTGACAGGCATGTGTGGTTAGTTACCACATTGATCATAAAGATCCACTGGCAACTTTTGTTTCTGTTCTTTTTATAGATCTTCCTTACACTTCCTATAGTTCATACATCAAAATTAAGGATTGTTTTAGGTGAAATTATTACAAAGTTATGCAGGGATTCTGTGCTGTGGCTGCACTGGCAGCTTCAAAGACTTTTTTCAGAAATTTTTCAGTTCAATCTGCTCCGCACACTGATAGCATCCCTCAACTACATGCTCATCAGCAGCTTTTCAGCACTGAATAGTACAAAAAATATACATCCAGATTATTATTCCAGCAGGTGTACAGTGTACAACTTATAAAGCACTTTATCAAACCCTAAAAYGCTTCAGACATTCACACAATGATGATGGCAAAGTACATTGTAGACACAGCTGCCCTGGGGCGCACTGAGAGAAGCGGGGC